TCCTCCTCCTCCTCCTCCTCCTCCTCCTCCGCTTCCTCCTGATATTCCCCGCCATCATTCCCCAAGTGTTCCCCGAAAGGTTTCCACAACGGTTGGGGGAACACGTGGTCCGATAGCTTGGCGGAGCTCTTGCCACAACGCTCGGCCACATGGGCGATTCTAGAAGGCAGGGGGCGGCGGTGATTCGCAATAAGCGTATTCGATAAATTCCGTCGCGGCCACCCGGAAGGGACAGCAAGGCGCGCAAGTCTCAGAAAAATACCCCCTGCACGGCTCAAGATGGTGTTCAAGACCGCCGAGATGGCCAAAGATGGCCTCTCCAAGATGCCTCCAAGATGGCCAAGATGGCCTCAAAGACGGCTAAGATGGCCTCCAAATTCTTCCAAGACGGCCCAAGATGCACCCAAGATGGCCCAAGATGGCCTCAAGATGACGGTAGACGGCCCAAGAGGCCCCCAAAGAGGCTTCCAAGACGGCCCAGAGGCTCCCTCCCAAGAGGGCCTCCGGGAAGGCCTGAAGAGGCCAAAATCATTGATTATCCTTAGGTTGTTGAAGGATTTGGGGATGTAATCCTTTTCGGCCTTCCGAGGACCCGAGACGGTCCAAGAGAGCTCAACGATCGCCCCAAGATCGCCCAAGAGGCCTCCAAGATGGCCCCAGAACGGCCCAAGAGGCCCCAAAGGCGGCCCCAAGAGGGCCCCAAGAGGCATCCAAGACGCCCGAGATGGCCTCCAAGACGGCCCTGGAGCACCCCAAGGCCCCAGGTCAGCCCAGAGAGGCCCTCAAGACTGCTTCCGACGGCGTCACACGGGCCAGGAGGCAATCAAGACGGCGGAAGATGATTCTACGGTGACCCGAGACGGCCCAAGAGGCCCCCAAACGGTCTCCAAGACGGCCCAAGGGGCCTCCAAGAGGGTCTCCAGGAAGGCCCAAAAATGCCAACATGATTGATTGTCCGTAGGCGTTTGAAGGATTGGGCATATTGGTCTGTTCCGCCTTCCGACTGTCCAAGACGGCCAAACGCCCCCAAAGATCGCCCCAAGATCGCCCAAGAGCCCCCAGGATGGCCCCAGAACGGCCCAAGAGGCCCCCAAGACGGCCCCAAGAGGGCCCCAAGAATGCCCAAGAGGCCTCCAAGACACCCGAGATGGCCTCCAAAGCGGCCAAGGAGCACCCCAAAAGGCCCCAAGTCGGCCGAGAGAGGCGCCCTAGACGGCTGCCGACGGCGTCATACGGGCCACGAAACCCCCAAGACTGTCAAAGAGGCTCCCGAGAGGCCCCCAGAGGCCCTCAAGAGGCCCAAGACGGCCCCTAAGATGCCTTCAAGAGGGTCCCAGGAAGCTCCCAGGAGGCCCCAAGAGTGCCCCCAGAGGCTCCCAAGATACCTCCTCCTCCTCCTCCTCCTCCTCCTCCTCCTCCTCCTCCTCCTCCTCCTCCACCTCCACCTCCTCCTACTCCTCCTGATCTTCCCCGCCATCCTCCCCCAAGTGTTCCCCGAAGGGCTTCCACAACGGTTGGGGGAACGCATGGTCCGATATCTGTGCAGAGCTCTTGCCACAACGCTCGGCCACATGGGCGATTCTAGAAGGCAGGGGGCGGCGGTGATTCGCCGTAGGCGTCTTCGATAAATTCCGTCGCCCGATACATTCCGCGCGGGGCATCCGCGGAAGAGCGCCCCGTAACCGCGGGGTCGCGGCCCAGGGGACAGGCCCGCGAGACCGCGGATACGGATGCGCCTTGTTCGCCCACACGAGGGGGGGAGGCCCAATCGTCCCCAGCGCAGTCGGGCAGCCTCCCGCTATGAGGGGACTCCTCAGGAGGCCTCGCGCGGCAGCTTTAGCCCCAGCTTACAATCAACCCGCATAGTAAGGATGCGCGTCAAGGGGCCCAGGGACATACGAAATAATGCACACAGATCCCAGGACTCCAAATATGGTTCAATATTTTCTGGATTTTCGTATTCCAACCCACATCCTATGTTTCCCCATAGTTTCCTAGGAATCGCCGATTATTTGTGTCTGTGTGTGTTCTCCCCTTGAGTAGAGTAAGGACGCACGGTAAAGATGGAAGGGGCTCGGGCGCCCATGCCGAGGCTCAACAAGCGGGACAGTCCGTCAAGAATGGTTGAGGATGGCCCGAAGATGACCGAAGAGGCAAGGATGCCAGTGTACCCTCAGAAACCGATCACGTTTACTGTCGGGGCTGACTGTACGTCGGATCCACATCGGCCACACGCCGGGTTCGCGTGGTGTTTACGTCGGTTTTGCGTCAGGTTCACGTCGGACTAACTTGTCCCGAGTCGTTCTTGGACTGACCCGAGCTCCAGCGAGGGCCCCCAGGGCCCTAGAGGCCGAAAACAAACAAAGCCCCCCCGTCCTGATGTTGTTCACGACGCGACGAGCATGTCTGGGTCTCGCCTCTGAGCTTTGACTGAAGGCCATCAGCGGAGCGCGCAAGCTAGAACCAAAGACAAAAGACGATCTACCCCGACCGATCCAGCCTCAGGCACACACGCACTGGAGCACGCGCCTCGAGGCGGGAGTGGCACCATATCGAGAAGCAGGGACGCAGGGACGCAGGGACTAACGGACTGCGAACAATGTGTCCACGACGGTCGTTGCTTACAGCGAGGAAGCGGCGGCATAAGAATGAGAAGATCAGAAACCGGCCTGCTCCTCCAGGGCAGGAGCCGGGAAGCAGGAGCGAGGGAAGAGGCGGAAGGCTACAGGCACGGGGAAGAGAACAGCAGTTCGGAAAGTACCCCACGTGTCAGGGCGATCCCCTCGGTTATCTTGGAAGGCGGGGAAGGGGAGGAGGGCCAAGGAGAAGGAACCAGAAGGAGGCGGACCAGGACGGCGACGAAACATCGCAAGAACAAGAAGAATGACCAGACGGAAGGGGCGGGCAATACCAAAAATACGCAGCGAGGTAAAAAGGAAATACGATTCCACACCGACGTGGACTTGGGAGGGCAGTGCGAAACATGACTAGCCGATGTAGAAGAGGAGGACAATGGCCGCACGGGGAAGTAGAGCCCAGCGTAGAAGAGCCCAGCGAATCACCAGGGAAGCAGCGCAAAGCGGAACGAGCCGAGCGGAACGTGGCCAGGACAAAGAAGAAGAATTGGACCAGAGGGGGGCAAACATGCTGCAGAGAGCCTGCATGATCCTGAGAAGCACCTGCGCCTGGTTCGACGCGCGGAAAGGTGACCTTCACAGCGGGCAAAGGCGCGACAGGGGGCAGCGAGCACCAGTCACCTTACCCCATCATCATCCTTACTCCTTCATCATCATCAGCATCATCGTCATCACCATCATCACCATGACCACGCGTCTTCCTCATCATCATAACCACAATCGTCGTCACCACCGCCACCATCGCCATCACCATCAGTGTCGCTCCAACCATCACCACTGGTATAGTCATCACCATCATCATCAGCTTGACCACAAGCACCGCCACCATCACCATCATCATCACCATGCCCGTCACCTTCGCCAGCACCCTTACCATCATCACCACCACCATTTTCATTGGCATCAGCATTACCATGATTTTCCTCATCATGACCACCACAACCACCACCATCACCAACATTGCAACCACCGACATCATCACCATCCAATCAACAAAATCAACGTCACCATCATGACCACCAGCACCGCCACCATCACCATCATCACCAACATCACCATCACCATCACGAGCACCATCACCATCATCGTCATCATTCTCATTCGGCTTATCAATATTACCATCATCATACTCATCAGCACCATCATTATCAGGATAACCGTCCCCGACCTGTCGTGTTCGTTCCTCCTGGGGTCCGTGGTGCCTGGGACAGCTCGCTCCTGTCTCACTCGCAGGTGCTGCGGCACGCGGCGGGGTCAACACCTGCCGCAGTGCATTGCGAGGTCCAAACTGGTGCTGCACGCCAGAGTGGTCGGCTCCCCGCTGTGCCTGTGCCCACGTAGACGTTGATTTATTTCGACAGCCATGCGACCATACATTGGAAGCATCATCACCATGACCATCACCATCATCACCATCATCATCCCGTTCATCATCACTAGCAGCACGAACACCATCATCATCATCATCATCATCATCATCATCATCATCATCATCATCATCATCATCATCATCATCATCATGATCATCATCATCATCATCGTCATCGTCATCGTCATCACCATCATCACCATCATCACCATCATCACCATCATTATCATCATCGTCATCATCCTGCACCTGACCAAGCTCGTTGGAAACGGCGGTGCAGGGACTTCCGTCCATCATTCCCCACGAGCTCCCTCGTGCGATGGCGGCATCGGCGCCAGGCAATCTATGGGTTCGGCCTATCCATCGGGTGGCACTGCACTGTCTTTCTCTAGCCGCGAGTTCCACTTGGGTAATGCTAAGGGTGCAAAATCGCCTCTGCGCCGTCGCAGCGTCGCACACCTGCCTCGTGGTATTTTTCTTATTCTGCTTCGAAACGGTGTTCCAGATCAGGCTCGCACTCGCTACTGTCGAGGCCATGCATGTGCACCATGGAAATGTGCATACATTCATCATACTACCTGGGTTCTTCGCGGCTTTGCGGTATCAATGCTCATTGGTGCTTCTTGCCCCCCCCCCCGCAAGAGGCACTAACGTTGTGGTCATCGCGCGCGCAGGAGACAGGCCCATCGTCTTCTCGTTCGTGGACGGCGCCGTCACGATCTGTAGAGTTGTGTGCGGCAGCTTCGTGATCTTCATGCTCGTGGGTTGCAGCCTCGTTGTGTTCATGTTCGCGGGCGGCAGCTTCGTTGAGATCATGTTCGTACAAGCCTGCGCAATTCCTATGGGGAGAAAGCTCGTGAACATCAGCTTCGTGGTGCTCAAGCCAGATGGCGGAAGCTTCGTGGCCTTCACGCCCGTGGGCGGCAGCTTCGCGGCGTCCACGCTCGCGGGCAGCAGCTTCGTGGCGTTCACACTGGTCGGCGGCAGTTTCGTGGTGTTCAAGTTCGTTGGCGGCAGCTTCGTCATGATCACTCTCGTGGGCGGCAGCTTCGCGGTGTCTCGCCGTCGTGGTGACAGTTTCGTGGTGCTCACGCTCGTGAGCAGCAGCTTCGTGGCGTTGTGCCCGGAAGCGGCAATTTCGTGGCACTCACGCTCGTGGGCGGCAGCATGGCGGTTTTCAAGTTCGTGGGCGGCAGCTTCGTAATGACCACGCTCTTGAGCGACAGCTCTGTGGCGCAAGGCCGCCCATGAGCGACAGCTTGGTGGTGTTCACGCTCGCGGGGATCAGCTTCGTGGTCCTCACGCCCGTGAGCGGCAGCTTCGCTGCGTCCCCGCTCGCGGGCGGAGGCTTCGGGGTGCTCGCGCTCGTGGGGGGCAGCTCCGGGGTGCTCACGCTCGTGACTGCTCATTCGTGGTGCTCACGGTCGTGGGCGACAGCTTCGCGGTGCTCACGCCCGCGGGCAGCAGCCCCGTGGTGCTCACGCTCGTGGGCGGCATTTTCCTTGCGTTCACGCTCGAGGGCGGAAGTTTCTTGGGGTTTTACGCTCGTGGGCGGCAGCTTCGCGGCCTTCACGCTCGCGGGCTGCAGCTTCGTAATGTTCACGTTTGTGCCCGCGCTCCAGGACCGAAGCTTCATGGCGCCCACGTTCTCAGGCGGCAAGTCAGTGGTGTTCACGCTCGTGGGCGACAGTTTTGTGATGTTCAAGCTCGTGGGTGCGAGCTTCATGGTGCTCACGCTTGTGGTCCATCCTGTACTGGGTGATGACGTTCTTTGGGCCGTCATTATCACGGTGGCCGTCCCCACCATACCGAGCTCGTTCCTTCTCGGGCCCGCAGTACCTGGGACAGGTCGCTCCTGTCTCACTCGCAGGTTCTGCGACACGCAGCCGCGTGCAGCAACTCCAGCCGCAGTGCACTCCGAGGTCCAAGCTGGCGCTGCACTCCAGCGTGGTCGGCTACTCCAGATTTCGTAATAAAAGGGGGGGGTCTCATTTCGGGGGGGGTCTCTTCCAGGCTATCTTGGAGGGCCTGGGGGGGTCTGGGGACGGTGTTTGTGCGGGTTCTCCCACGTGGGGGGGGTCTGAAATGGCTCGTCTTGGAGGGTCCAGACCCCCTCCCTTTTATTACGAAATCTGGAGTACCCGCATATGCCCACTCAGACGTTGATTGTCTGTCGACAGCCATGCGACCACAAATCATCATCAGCATCAAACTCATCATCATCATCATCATCATCATCATCATCATCATCATCATCATCATCATCAGCATCAGCATCAGCATCAGCATCAGCAGCAGCATCATCATCACCATCATCGCCATCATCGTCAGCTTCATCAGCACCAGCATCAGCAAATCATCAGCATCAACATCATAATCACCATCGCCATCACCATCACCATCACCATCATCATCATCATCATCAGCAGCAGCAGCATCATCATTATCATCATCCTCATCATCAGCATCAGCATCATCGTCATCATCATCGTCATCAGCATCATCATCCTCATCATCATCCTCATCGTCCTCATCCTCGTCCTCATCACCATCACTATCACAATCACCATCACCATAACAATCAGTTTCATCAATGTCAACACCAGTCGCATCATCACCACCACCATCATCACCATCACCATCACCATCACCATCACCACCATCATCATCAACATCATCATCATCATCGTCATCATCATCATCATCACCATCAGCATCATCATCATCGTCATCACAATCGACATCATCAGCAGCAGCATCAGCATCGTCATCACCAGTATGATCATCATCATCGTCGGCACCAACAACAATACCATCCTCATCAGCATCATCATCATCATCATCAACCGCAGCATCATCAGCATCATCATCAGCACCATCATCATCCTCATCATCCTCATCATCCTCAGCATCCCCATCATTACAATCATCATAATCATCACCACCATCATCACCAGCATCATCAGCAGCAGCATCGTCATCATCATCATCATCATCATCATCATCACCATCATCATCAGCATCATCATCGTCATCATCATCACCACCATCATCCTCATCATCAGCATATTATCATCATCAGCAGCATCCTCATCAGCATCATCACCATCACCATCACCATCACCATCATCATCCCGCTCATCATAATCATCAACATCATCATCGTCATCATCATCATCATCCTTATCCTCATGCTCATCATCATCATCATCATCATCATCATCATCATCATCATCATCATCATCATCATCATCATCATCTGCATCCATCCCATCCACAACGGGCAGGGATAGGCCGGGCAGAACCGAGACGATGACGCTTTGGGACGGCGGCGGAGGGGACAGGGGAGGCGAAGCGATGGAAGACGAGGTGGCCGACGGAGGAGGAGAAGGAGGAGGAGGAGGAAGAGGAGGAGGAGGAGGAGGAGCGGCAGCGTGCGGAGAACTCTCATGCCATCAGGAGGCAGGAGACAGGAGGAGGACGGGGCGGAGGCGGAGGGAGGGGAGGGGAGGGGAGAGAGGGGGAGCGGAGAGGATGGGAGAAGCGAGGGAACTGGAGGCGAGGGGGGGAATGGGATAGAATAGTGAGAGAGGCGAAGAGACGGGAAGGGGGAGGGGCCGGGGTGGCAGGCAGACGAGGCAGGGGGGCTGCACGCACCCGGAGGCGCAGGCCGAGAGGAGCTCGTCGGGGAGCACAGACGACCACGGAGCTGCACGCCACGACGGGAGCCCGCGGCACGGCGGACGAGCCGCGAGCCACCCGCCCTCACACCCGGAGGGGGTGCCGGCCCCCCGCGCCCCGCGATTCGAGGACGCGTTTTAGGTATGGGCCTCCCTTCCTCCTCCTCCTCCTCCTCCTCCTCCCCTCCTCCTCCCTCCTCCTTCCTCCTCCTCCTCCTCCCTCCTTCCTCCTCCTCCTCCTTCCTTCCTCCTTCCTCCTTCCTCCTTCCTCCTTTCTCCTTCCTCCCTCCTTCCTCCTTTCTCCTTCCTCCTTCCTCCTTCCTCCTCCCTTGCGTAAAGGACCCCGAGGGGGGCTCCCATGCGGGCGGGGATTCCCATGCGACATCACGCGCACCCACAGCCCCCCTCCCCCCCCAAGAAGTACGCCCCTGTGAATTCTGGGGGTCGCATGCGCAGGAGTGCTGGCTGTCGGCGATCATTACCCGTCGGTGCACAGACGCCCCGTCTCAGCAAATGTAGCTGTGGCGCGTGGGGCCCAGGTCGAGGCCGTTGGTCCCTGGACAGGAGCGCCGCGACAATGATCTGTCGTATTTCATGGAACACACATCGACGAGCCACCCCAGCCAACCCTCCTGCCCTCCCTCTCTGTCGGCGACTCCAAAGGGGGTGCGGCTTGCAAAAGGTATGGTGTGCAAACAGCTCCCTGGGGGGCGGGCGAGGGCCTCGGCGGGGCTCTCCGCCGTGCCCCGGGGAGGCCCGACGAGGGCAACGTGGTGCCCCCCGAGCCCCGACGACGCAGATATCGCAAACCACACCCCCGGGCAACCACACCCCTCGTAGTCGCCGACTCTGGCCAGCCCCAGGAGAGCCCAGAGTCGAATCGAGAAGTCGGACCGGCGATCGAAATATGGACTGCTACTCCGTGTGGACTCAGCCTCCGCCGAGTCCTCTGAACCTGAGGCAATCCTTAAGACCAGCATCGCGAGAGGGTGATGCCCATCATAGGGATGGGGATGTCTTTCAGGCTGGTCACCAGCGCCCTTGCTTCCCCCCGGCCCCAACGTGTCGCCACATCGCCACCGCTCCTGGTCGAGCTCGGCCAGAGCAGCAGCGGCCTCGGGCGAGCACACCAGCGGGAGGGAGGACAGAGGCCAGGACAACCCAAGAGGCCCCCAAGGCCCGGCCCCAAGACGGCCGCAGAGCGCCCCAAGAGGAGCCCGAGTCGGCCAACGAGGGCCCCGAGCGTCGGATCCTGCGGCACCGCCGCCCCTGGCAGAGGACAGAGGCAGCAGTGCGCAGGCACGCGATGTGCTTTTGCTGGTGGAGCACGCAGCCCCCCAAGCCCCTCACGCTGATCCCACAGGCCGGCGCTCCGTCCCGAGCCCAGCTTCGTGGCCGGCTCGAAAACCCGGCGAACGCCCACAGAGGCCGAGGACCGCCGGGACCTCCCGCCACGACGCCGTCGGCCACACGCAAGAGGGACCTCTGGGCAAGAGTGACCTCTGGTGCGCGGCTCCTTGGGGCCGCGGGGGGGCCAGACACAGGCGCGCAAGACGCTGCTGTCGCACCGCCTTCGGCGCACCTCGGCGATTGGCGGGGGGGGCCCTCTGGGTCGGCGCCAGAAGACCACTCCGGCGGAAGGTCACGTCTGCGTGCAGCCGAAGTCCGCTCACGACGCGAGGGCCAGATGGGGAGCTGGCCTGTTCGCCAGCAGCTCGTACAGCAGAACGCCCAGCGCCCAGAGGTCCACGGTGTGGTCGTGCGGCTCGCTGTTGACCATCTGGGGGGGCCCGGGGGCCGCGGCGCGGCGAGGGAGCGCGGCGGCCGAGGGGCCGCCGGGTCGGTGGGGGAGGCGGGGCCGAGGGTCCTCGGAACGCGCGCGAGCGCCAGCCTCTGCTCGTCCACTGGGGAGGCCACGCCCCAACGCAACGCGCAACCCCCTCTCTCCCCGCGTACCTGCCGCGGGGTGCGCTCGGGGGTCGCGCGTCGCCTCGCCCCGTGACTTCGCACGATTCGTCCCCCGTCGATGCTACCCAACGACCTCCTTTTTCGGGTCATCGGATCTCCGGGCATTGGGGCAGCAGGGCCTCAGAGCTGCGGGGTCTCGGGGCCCGTCGCGGGCTGCCGCCCTCGCCCCCTCGCGGGGCCTCGGGGTCCGAGGCTCGTGCCTGCCCTGCCTCTGCAGGAGGAGGCCTCTGCAGGCAACCGGCAGGGGGAGGTAGGCATGGGGGGATGCATCGCCCTCGAGTGGCCCATGCATCGCCCTGGTGTCGTCGATGCATCGTCGATACATTCGAGAGGTCGACGCATCCCACTTCATGCCTTGCCTTTCCCCCTCAATCGTTGCACCCGGTCCCCACATGGAGGAAGAAAAAAGCGCATAAACACACACTGTCGGAGCTCCGCACTGACTTTTTGGATCGGCGCTGGGCCCCCAGGGGGGTGCCTCCGGCGCCGCCCCTGGCGCACTTCGCGCGCCAGGGAGAGGGGCCCAGCGCCGATCCAAGACATCCGCGCGGACCTCAAATCGTTCATGTTTATTCCGTTTGGGTGCTTCTAGACGTGCGCTTGTCCACAGAAGCCCTCCCATCCTTGGTACTGTTTCGGCCCCGCGTGAAGCCCGAACACGACTACCATCACCGTCATCGGGATCAAATCCCTTCGGAAGAGGCACACAGATGACACCGCGTGTGGTCGGCGGCCTGGACGATCCTCGATGAAGGGGCCAACGGGATGGGGGGGCACTGGCGGCGCGCGCGGGGGGAGCGGGCGCCGACAGGGGGGGCGGCCTCGCAGAGGAAGCCCGGCGGGCCCCTGAGAACACCCCCCCCGCACAAAAAAAGTGGAGTCCTACACTGGGGCCCCGTGCACGAGGGCCCCAGGACCCGACTCCTCGACAGGGGCGGGGTCCTGCACTGGGGCCCCGTCACCCCAGCAGCACCACACACACACACACACACACACACACACGCACGCACGCACGCACACACACACACACACACAACAGCAGCAGCAGCAGCAATACCGGGAGACGGAGAAAGGAGAAGGTGTGCATTTCAGACTACACCACTCGTTCGCAGCGACCTCTGCTACGATTCTATTATGCAAGGATCCACCAGTAATAAAATCATATTAGAGATGATTCAGCTCTAATGGAATCATATTAGAGAGGGGCTCACCTCTAACAGAAGCCTGTTGGGCATGGGTTCGACTCTAAAAGTTCGTGTCAGAAACGGAACCAGCTCTACTGCGATTATATTAAAGATGGATCCAGCTCTACTATGATCCAAGTAAACATGGACGCAGCTCTAATATAATCATATGAAAGATGGATCAAAGTCTACTGCGATCTTATTTAAATGTGGATCCAGCTCTACTACGATCCTATTGGAGATTGATCAGCTCTACCACAACAACAACAACGACGACTACAACACCAACAACAACAACAACAACAACAACAAGCACCTCAACAACAATCAGTTTAAAACAGCTCGCTCTTATCTGCTCGAATGTCATTCAACGTGTGATTCCCGAACCTTCGATACCCGCCCTCTTTGTCTCCGATCGTACCCCTTTTGGGGGGTATACCTTTCTTCCCTGCAAGTCGGGCCCCGGCAAGCGGCGGGGCGGCCGCGGACCGTCGGCCTGGCCAGCGGCAGCACTGATCGGCGGCAACCCGACACCAAGAGGGACGGACAGGGGACCGACTACGACGACGACGACGACGACGACGACGACGACGACGACGACGACGACGACGACGGCGACGACGACGACGACGACGACGGCGACGACGACGAGCGAAAGCGAAAGCGAGAGCGACAGCGAGAGCGAAAGCGAAAGCGAGAGCGAGAGCGACAGCGGGGCCACGAAGGGCAGAAAGGGGGCCACGAAGGGCGGCAGCGGGGACACGAAGGGCATGCGCATGGGGGCTCGAAGGGCGCGAAGGAGCGGGGGCCACGAAGGGCAGATAATGCAAGGCCAAAGATGGCAACGACGCGGCCACTGAGGGTAGCAACGGAGCCACGTAGGACAGCAAGGGGGGCAGAAATGGCGACAGCGGGGCCACGAACGGCATGCATATGAGGCCACGACAGGCGCGAACGAGCGGGGGCCAGGAAGGGCCTACGTACATTGGGCCGCAGAGGGCGAAGAAGGGGCCACTGAGGGCAGCAACGGGGCGACGAAGTGCAGCGAGGGTGCCACGAAGGGCTGTAACGGGGCCAAGAAGCGCGTGCATATGGGGCCACGAGGGGCGCGAACGAGCGGGGGCCACGAAGGACCTACGTATGCGGGGCCACGAAGGGCAGCGAAGGGGCCACGAAGGGCTGCAACGGGGCCACGAAGGGCAGCGAGGAAGCCACGAAGGGCTGCAACGGGGCCACGAAGAGCAGCGAGGGGGCCACGAAGGGCTGCAACGGTGCCACGAAGGGCTGCAACGGGCCCACGAAACAAAGCGAGGGGGCCACGAAGGGCTGCAACGAAGCCACGAAGGGCAGCGAGATCCCGATTCCGAAATAATATGTGAGGGAGTCCTAAGCGTGAGCGCGACTCCTGGGTGCCTGAGCGTCGGGAACGCGATTGGGCTACCTTGCGCCAACTGCAAGCAAGTGTCCAGCGAGAGCGCGATTCCGAAGCGCCGAAAGAGCGATTCCTGAATAAATCGTAAGGAAATCCCAAGCGAGAACGCGATTCCCGAGTAAAATGCGCGGAAGTCTCAGGCGGGAACGGGGGTCCTGGCTAAATTGTGAGGAAGTCTCAGGCGGGGACCCCCTTGTTGTGGCAACCCGGGGGCCAACAATACAGTTTGAG